GGTAGTTACATCTTGCAATTAAGCCAGACTAGAAAATCAAAAGAATGGTTTGCAGTCGGGTACAATAAAAGGGTCATCAAATGGGCTATCCTATTGTTACATCGACCTACAAATCGTACACTAAAGCCACTATTAATCGCGAAATAATGCACGACCTCCTTGAGAATTGCGCACATCCCACTATCCCTAGTATCAGACTGATGGATCTTCTCATCTACCACTTTGGCATCACCTTCAAATCTTATATCCGAAAGTCCCAAGTTTAAACACCAGAGAATAGCCTGTCGGAGAACGAGCAACTCCACCACCATAAGATCATCAATTTCCAGGAATTGAGTCCCTCTTGCCAAGAGGACTACCCTTGCCTGATTCGGGATAATCATCCCACCTACCGAGTGGCAACCACTCTTAGTCGCCCCATCCCATTTACAAACAATTGCATTCGATGGCCTGCAACCAAAGGTTGTTATAAAGGGATGGAAGACTAGACCCACGATCAATAGGCAAAATGACCCACTCTTGATATTGTTGGTTGAATTTTTGCATTAGAGCTAGGATCCCAAACTATTTGCCTTCGAAGACAACCCAGATGCGCGACTGTTAGTTTCTCCAAAGGATCACAACCACCGCCATAAATAGATGAGGCTGAGTTAAGAGTAACATCTACTTTTTAAGGAATAGTGGGAAAGTGTGGTGAGGCAGTCCTAGACCAAGATAATCAAGTCTCGAATGATCCCATAAGGACCTAGCCACTGGGCAATTAAGAAACAAATGTTCCATTGTTTCCGGTTCAGGCCAAAAAACGAGACACCTAAGAAGCACGAAAACATCTTTTTCGATGAGGGCCTTCGTCGTTGGCAAGATTTGATTGAAGATTTTCCAAACAAACACTTTCAACTTAGATGGAATGTTAGCGTCCCACAATCGAATCAAATTGGTCCCTATCCATCCAAATAGCCATAGATCTCCTTCACCCACCCTGCTGATCTAACAAGAAAGCAAAGTGATAGGCCGATTTAACAGAGAAAAACCCCATCAGACGTGCCATGCCATATCAAGCTATCCTCCACCATTTGTTAAGTTTCAAATCACACCAGCGTCCCTGTGCTTGGCAAATGATCTCTGCCAGCGGCAGGTCCCCTTAATCAGGAAGCACTTGGGGATTGTATATTGGGGGACATGGATTTAAACGAGGAATCCAATTGGAATTAAGTAGGAAAGTTGTCTGACCATTGCCAATTTGCCATTGTAGTCCCTTCATTAATAACTCCCACCCATATAGGATACTCAACCAACCTCACGACGGGCAAGATTGAGCAGTATCATTGAGGATTGTGTCATGCAGAAAATATTTCCCTTTGTACACCTAGGCCAGGAGGGAATGGGTAGGACTTAAAATTTCCTTGACCCGTCCGGCTGTCCATTACCCTGTCTGACCCATCCCTGAAGGGTCAAAATGTATAACTGACCCGTCCCGTCACTGTCTCCTTCTTGACCCCGTCTGACCCTCAAGGGATGGGACGGGACGGGTCGGGTCAGTGGGTCGACCTTAATCTACCCACTACTTTTTTTACAAATATTTTTTGGTACCCAAAATTATTTTTTCTTATAATTCTGCACCTAAAGTTTATTTTTTTAGAAATAAGTCCTTAAAATTTGATGGTAAATTTATATTTTGGTACCCAAATTTTTTTATTTTTGCAATTTAGTACCCAAACTTTTACAGGGTCAAAAAGTGACCCATCCCTAAGTTGACCCGACCCGTCCCGACCCTTATAGGGTCAAAAGCTTACCCGTCCCTAAACTGACCCTATAGACAAACTGACCTGTCCGACCCTCACGAACGGGATGGGTCTAGACTGGTAAGTGGGTTCTTAGGGTCATACTTACACCTCTAGGAATGTGGTTCGTTTGAGGATACGCCAACCAATTTTGGCTAATAGCGCCTGATTAAAATGTTCAAATGATGAAACACCATACCACCATCATGTTTACTCCGGCACATATTGCGCCACGACATCCATCGAATCCTAGACTGACCTTTCTCAACTCCCCACTAGAATCTGGCCACATGTTTGTCCAAGAGACAACAAAAGGAGAAAGGTAATTTGAAGCAGGACATGACATGTAGCGGTAGAGCTAAAGCGATCGATTTGATCAAAGTCTCCTTTCATCCCAGGACAAACCCCTTCACTTCCATCCCTATAGTCGGCCAATAAATTTTCTTCCAAATACCGAAATGTCATAATTTTTATTGGGCGATTAGGGTAGGAAACCCCGGTATTTATCTTGGACACTATTAGCCCTGACTCCCAGAATTTGAGCCAAAAACTCTTGATCGTGCAGCGCGATATTTTTGCTAAAGCAAACTGTCGATTTAGCCAAGTTAACCCTCTGACCACTTAGTTCCTCATATTAATTTAACACCTCAACCAATTTCTCACATTCCTATAAGGATCCTCTAAGGAATAGATAAGAGTCATCGACAAAAAAGAGATGTGATATCCGATGAGCTGCAAACCCCTCTGTGCAAATCACAAACAGGAGGAGGTATAGCGGATCACCCTGCCAAGACCTCTAGATGGTGTAAAGAAACCTGAGGGTGTACCATTCATAAGAATATAAAATGACGTTGATCGAGTGCACTCGTGTATCTAGCCTTGCTAGGTGGAGTTAAAACCCATCTTGTCCAAAACCTCTAGGACAAAGGGTCATTCGACTCTATCATAGGCCTTTTCCAGGTCAATCTTTAGAGCCATGTACCCTTTCTTCCCATGCGTTTTGATTTTAAACTAGTAAATTAACTCATACCCTAGAAGGATATTTTCTACTATTTTTTGTTCTCGGATGAACGCATTTTGGCCGTCTGAAATGATCTTGGGTAAGAGACAGGAAAGTCTTCAGAAATAACCTTAGTTATAATTTTGTACACAAACTGGCACAGACTAATTGGTTTGAGCTGCCTCATGGTCTTAACATTATCCACCTTTGGGATCAGTGTCAACCATGTGTGGTTAAAGCTGCAAAGTAGCGTACTCGTAGAGAAGGATGAGCATACCGCTTTAATCACTTAATCGCCGACAATGTCCCAGAAGACATTGGAAAATTTTCACGTGAAACCATCAGACCCCGAAGCCTGTTTCGATCCCATGGAGAAAACCGTTCCACGCACTTCACTAGGATTCATTTCCGCAATTACACTTCGCGCTATTGGGAGACTGCCACCCAATCATCCATGTTAAGGAACAGGTTCTCTGGGGTAAAAAGAGTTTGATAGAAATTTGTGGTTATATCTGCCTATCCTCTTTCATCCATAACCCATTCCCCACTCTCATCACGAAGACCGGACACGAAATTCATTTTTTGACGAGCCCGTGTCACCGTATGAAAATACGATGTGTTCTTATCGCCTTTCTTTAGTCACGTGATCTGTGACTTTTGCTGCCAGTAGACTACCTCTGCCTCCCACTGCCTATTCAATTCAAACTCCAAATCTCTCACCTCGTCCCAATTAATTGGGTGAATTAACTTGATCCGATCAATTTTCCCTAGAGGGTTTTAATATTTCGCAGCGAATTAGTGGTACTAGTCCTACTCCAATCATAAAGCAAGTGACGCAGATACTTCAGTTTCTGCCAAAGCTGGTACATAATAGTTCCACGAACTTCCTCCTGCCAAACATAATTCACCATAGCCTTTACCTCAGGATTATTTTCCCAGCGAGCATCAAATCGAAAAAGGGGTCGACTATTCCGGACATAAGGTTTATCTGATAGGAGGAGGGCTTGATGATCAGGCCCCTGATCCATGAAATGTTTGACTATGGTATCCGGAAACATATCAATCCAAGTTTGGGAACACATGGCTCTATCCAGCCTCTCTTCGATACAAGCAGGGCCCATACGTTTAATTATCCAAGTGAACTGATCGCCTTGGAATCTAGGATCATGAAGCCCAAGATCCTGAACAAAGTTATGTCGGTCAATTGATTTGGCCATATTCCATGGATTTCCCTCATCCTTTTCCTACTCGTGTATCGTTGCATTGAAATCACCAATTACTACAAATGGTAAATGGATTTCTTCACAGATTTCGCGAAGTTGAGCCAATTGAGTGGCTCTTACTGAAACATCACAACTAATATAAACACAAACCACAATGTAAGAAAAATACACTTCATTAATTTAGATACAAATTGAGAAGTTGAAATGAAAAAAACACCGAAGCGTCAACTCTGGGGGACCAAGCAACAACTAAACCACCAGATGCATCAATCGCATCTTGAAAGAAACAATGAGACAAAGAAAAACCTAACCCCTGCATTCTACGAGAAACTACGCGCCTGCACGACCTTATTCGAATGAACTAAACCAACAACAGTTTGGAAGGTGATAGATGGTTCAATTCCTCTCACATTGCAGGCTAGAAGCCTCATTTGTCCAACTGGGGCCATTCTAGGCTGGCATCCTCCACCTTTTCTTTGTCATTATCTTCCTTAATAAATTATTTCTTGGGATTTGGGTTATCGCCAATGTCCTCTTCGACCTCATGGATAGGCCGTTTACGGCTCCCACTTTTCGAATACACAATGTTCGAACCGTACTCATTGAGTTTCAGGATCATGCCACGCACAGATTCCTCAAATATCCCTTGTCCATCGTTCATCACCATTCCCGCCTCAAATGCTGCAACCACCTGGCTCACCTGACTCACATTTGAGCGGTGATTAGGGGTCGGGTTTGCCGGCGGGGAACGACTCCTTATTTCAAAGCGTAACTCATCATTCTCCGACAAGGAGGCTCTAGAATCTGCCTGGTCCTTTGTTGGGGCAGCAGAAATCCCATGATATTCCCAGTGAGACCTAAACACATCTGAAGTAGGGGAAAATTGGGTACCAGCGGACTCTTTGATAAGGTCCTCGTTCCAATTAGCTGGATCGGAAATAATCACTCCGACCTTCGCCTTCCCTTTGTTTGTAGCTAAATTTTTGGTACTCACCGATGTCTCATCCTCAGCGATATAGTAGGTGCCTTCACCATGCGATGGAGGAAAGTATTGCACTCGACTTGAGGAGCTACTTCCATCGTCTTCTGGTTATATTTCCTCAAAATACCCCAACAAGACCGGGAAGTGGGATTGACCTCTTTAAGTTGCTTCATGGCATCCTGATGTCCCTTCTCAGTCTTTACATATCAATGCACCGGTTCCACCATCGACACCTGCGGTGGCACATCATCCTCCAAATCATCATCAAACACCAGCTTTTGCCTTCTTGCCTCACTCCGAGGGATTCTAGAATAGACAGTCGTGTCTTCCATTGGAGTAGGAGACACCATATGTTTCTCCTCAATAGCCTCCTGAGTCTTATGCTAGCAGGGTGCATGCTCGCCGAAGCTTCCGTTCACTTTTTGATCACAAACACCGGGGCAAGCCATCCCTCTTGTCCTCGCCTCACTCGCTCCCCCTTCCCGCTCCTTCTTGCCCACGAAATTCCGTAGGCGATGACCGGTTACAGCCTGGGTGAACGCGAGACAGGATACTTTCAGGGCTCCTCCCTCGTGAGTTCTTTTTCGCTTCATGGGGGTCCCTAACAGTAGCTCCTACCTGCCGCTTGGAATTATATTTCATCCCAGGCTGAGCAGGGACTTTATCCGCAGCCTCAATATCATGGAACTCGGTACGATCCATCCTCAGTTTGGATACGTGGGCATTCCTGAGGTCCTTGTTAATCCAAACAGACTTAGGGACCCAATTCAACGGGAAGGTAACTTCTCCCTCCTCATAAACCCTCCTCCCTAACTTCTTTGTTAACATGTGAGGACCAGAACGCTCTTTCCGTGACAGAGGATCAAAATTGCAAGCACTGCGCGAATAGCCAATCCTACCACAGTGGAAGCAAAAATTAGGGAGGTGTTCGTATTTGAGACTCACTCAGAAGCATCCTGTGTCATCATTCGTCGCCATGAGCTGAGACCATAACGGTTTAGAGAAATTAATGAGGGCCCTGAATTTCACAAATAGCCTATTCGTCTCAAGGCATTTGAACACTCCTGATTCCAAAACCTTTCCAATAGTGGATTCGCCACTTTCATCCCAAACTACCTCGTGCAACAGTCCTCTGGACGTCCCAAAGTTGGACGCGAAGAGGGACAACAACTAGTTCTTCAAAAGTCTGCTTGGTCACATTATTCCAATCGTGAAGGTGTTGGATCTTTTCCTTAATCACCCATGGGGTTTGCTTGAGGATCCAAACTCGCGATTCCTCACTTGGTAGTACAAATTCGAACAAGCCATGTTTCACGATAGTCACTGTAATTCGCCCCTTTCCCTACCATGGGACATTCAGAGAATCTCTAAGCTCTATTGCGGTGACATGGACATCTGTGAATAGCCGACCGAGCAACATCCGGGAGCTATGAAATTTTGTGGAGTTGACTTCCTCCAATGAAAATTGAACGACCTGATCTTCCGTCACATGAGCCATCTTGGTGTCCTGCATGGGAATAAAGGTAAGGGAGCTATTAGATACTTCTGTTGGGGGTGCTGCTGTCCCAAAACAGTAAGCTATTGATTCGCTTTCTTCACCCTACCACGTCAAATCAGGCCGAACCTCCAACCAAGAAGGAGGTCGTCTAGGAGTCATGAAATTAAGACGGAAAGAACTAGGTAGATTAATAATCTACATACCTTAGCCCTACCACCTTCTGAAAAGGTTTTCTTTATTTTCCGTCTCTGGCCACCAGTCTCTGCGAAAGTCTGATGTGAGATTAATAGGGCTAGTCCTAGGGACTAAATAGAGAGGGGGAGTACTACCCTTTCCGATGCTCATACGGTTGGGGTTACAGGGAAAATGAGTCCAAAAAGGACTCTTTAGGATCAAAATAATATCCTCAATTTTTTATTATCTTTCATTTTTCAATGGTGTAGGTTTCTTGGTTTTTATCTCTCCAACGGCCAAGGCACAAGCAGGTTTTCGTCCGATGACCCGATGACCGTCAATGCACGAGATTTTCCCCGGAGACAGCCAATCTATTGTCTTGTCAACACTGCCGGAATCGGGGTTAGGTTTCTTTTTCCGGCAGGGAGACACTGGGTAGGAGTAGGGTCCATATAGGACGGAGACAAATAATCTTCCCCGCAAACACTAGCCCAAGGAACAAACCTTCTTACTCCCGACGTGACGTGAGCAGGATAATAGCCCGTCACTCGCCTTACGGAGCTGATTGATTTTAGAAATCTCACCACTGCTCACGAGCCTGGTTGAGAAACGTCTAGAATAGGTTGATCTTCCCTATCACGATGTCGCGTCTCATTTTGATTAACCAGGCAAGCGGCGAGAATTGCCGATAACGCGGCAAGCACACCACGTCCGATCAAGGAGCAGGGGTCGATGAGAGAGGTGAGAGCTCCTCTTTTTTTCAGTCAACACATCATTTTAGTCAACATATCTTTTTAGTGCATGAAACTTCTATGCAATGCATGCACTGGAAACACGACGAAGGTTTCAAAAATATTATACTTTCAGTACTTGAAATTTTAGTTTTTACTTGAGATCACAAAAAAATTTATGTTCAGTTTTTTTCTCTTTCATCCTTGGTTTTTGTTCATCATTCTAGTTTCAAATTTTCGAACTTCAAACCCATGAATAAATTTTTATTTGAAGGGCAAGTGTAACAAAGTAGTTAAAATTCTATATATGAGTATCTTCTAAAAATTCGAATTATCTTCAGACCAAACAAATTTATGACAATTTTGACCTCCGCAAGTCATAATACTTTTTGAATACACTATCACATCTGATCCTAATGATAACTAACAATTTTAAAAGGAAGCAAACGTAGAGAGGAAAAACGACACTCAAAATTATTGGCCATTATCCTCTTGTTTGTTTCTTCTCTATCAAAATACTCACACACACACAAAAAACTTACATCCCCAAGAGTCGTCCTAGCTAAAGTCAAAATACTTCATTATATTCACCATCTACAAACATCCTCATCATAAACTTCATTATATTCATCATCTACAAACACTTCTCTCACTATAACGGATCTATGGTAGGAATGTTGATATTTTTTTCATATATATGCTTTTACCTTTAATAAACGGCACTTTTTCTTCTTGGTAATCTTTTAAGTGATTTATCAATTCTCTTCAAATCTGACTTATGTTCATTAACTTTTGAAAGTTTAAAATGGAGAGATTGTATTGTAAAATCTAAAAGTGTGAAATAATTAGAGAGATTATAAACAATTGATAGTTCATCAATGCTTATATCATTATAAAAGCTATTTTGCGCTTCAGATAGAGTCAATAACACCTTTTGGTGGCATGAAGTGACTCTCCTTTTTCCTAAATCAAATGTGATATGAACATTAATTTGTAAAATGCATATAATTAAGAATTATCGATAAAAAAGAAAGTCAATCATAATATTTGGTTGTTTGGATGATTCTCTATGAGAAATATTTCTTTGAAGCATTGAACTACAAAAAATGTAGTCATAAAAAATAAGTATGAGTCTTAATAATATAAGCAAAATAGTTGATGATGGAGGAGTTCTAACATAAAAACGAAAAAATCTTAATTAATTACTTAAATCCGTTTAGGTATCTAGTATAAATGCAATTAGTGAAGAAAATCACACCTAAAATGAATGCTCTGGGTGATTAAGTTTATGTTGTGACTCGTGAATTATGAAACATAATGGGAGTTGTGTGTACTAATACTACAATAGCATTTAAATGTGATTTCGTGGATGTTACCGTTAATTATAATAGGAAATTATAGCGGCATGAAAACTTTGCTTTGCGGATAGAGTATAAAATCTCGGCCTGCAAAATCTTACAAAATTCGTTTGCATTATCGTTTTACGACGGTACAAAACTTTGGCTTGCAAAACCCCATTGTATTATCGTATTATGACATAATACGATGATACAACTGAGTTTTGCATGATTGGTAGATAGAAATTTTATACCGGACCAAATCCTTTTAAAATTGACTTTTTGTTTGCACAAAATAAAATTTTCATATTTTACTGCGTTGGGTTAATCCTATTTTCCCGCCTTCTTTTAGGTGTGTAGACCATGTATTTTACTTCTTTTTTACTGTGATCATAACCCAATCTTAACATAGTAGCCTAATGACAAAACCAAATAAAACCATAAGCCCAAGCCAACAATGCAAGCACCTATGTCGGGCAAACTAATTAATATGAAGTAAAAGGACGAATGTAGCCTTCCATGAACGTCCGTTGGCCTCCATTTTCTAATCTAAGCCTCCCTTCCCTGGAATCTCCTTACATTAATGCCCCGTTTCGTATTCATTCTGTTTTTTGTTTTCTGTACAACAGAAAAGGAAATTTAAAGAAAATGAATCTGTCATTTCCTGGGAAACAAAATCTGAAGAAAACTTGGAAATGAAAACTTGTTTAGATACAGTTATTACAAACTGATTTATGTTTTTAATGGCAATCTTGTTTTAAACAAATAAACAAAATACCACTACATCAACCAAATATTTTAAGAAATACAACTACAATAATAAATAAGTGAAAACATCAAATAACTCCTGCTTGAAAGTCATTCCACAACTTGTCTGTTATTTCATCACGTAGAATTTCCATTGCCCGAGTTTGAGTTGAACTAACATCATACACTTCAGTTTGTTGTACTCCCTGGACTTCTACATCACACTGTTGGTATTCGTCAAACAAGACGTCTTCATCACAATGGATCTTGATGAAGTTATGTAGCACACAAGTAGCTATAACAATTTGCGCTTGCTTCTTGAATGGGAAGCAAGGCATATGTTTTATAATTGGAAACCTAGCTTTCAAAACTCCAAAACAACGCTCAATAACATTGCGTAGGGACGAATGGTAAAAGTTAAACAATTGTTTACGATTTTCGGGCCACCTGCACGGTTAATCTCTTGGAAATGAGAAGATTCTCTTGTCCGGTAGGGTGCTAAAAATCCCTGCATGTTTGAATATCCAGAATCAACAACATAATATTTACCTGGAAAATTTTTAGAAGTCAATTAGTTACCCACTAAATTTTAGATCTATATAGATATAAAAATTATTCATTACATACCTCGCGGCGGCATTGGAAATTTACTTTCAGAAACTTTCTCCTTGCTATGATCCTCACTGCTGCTGTCTATAATCTCCTGTGTAGAAGGTAGTGCATCGTTTCCAGTAGCGGTAGTATCCCCATAAACAATGCAAAGTTTTGGATACTCCGGGCAACCATACTTCCTAATGCTGTTAGCCACTCTATCCAACTACAAAAAAATAATAATATTTGAATCAATTCAAAGTTTAAAATAATAAACATACAAAACTTCACAATAGACAAAGAGTCAATTACCTTTACCCATCTTTCCCAACGTTCATCAGAGCCATCGATCTTCCCTGTTGCCGTAGTGTAACTAACTCCAGTCTCACTAATGATTGTCGTGAAAACCCTATGCTTTCTCCTCATCTGATTAAACTTGTTCTTTAACTGATCTTCATTCCAAACCTTCCTAAACTTGTTTGTCAATCCATTCATTATGTTTGCCTAGCCTACCTTTGAAAAAGTAGTGGTAGTTCTATTTCCATTCTTCACTTCTTCCACCATCAAATCAATAAGATAAAACTTGACCTCATTAGGCCATACTTCCTTTCCTTCCGCCATTATTGTCCATGATAAGAACTAGTTACACAAGTCACTCATATTAGACATACAACAATAAAAGTAATTAAACACCAACACACCAACAAAGATTCGACAGTGAAGAGAGGACATGCATGAGTTAATCAGGGGTTCATATATTAGATTAAAAGTAATTAAACACCAACACACCAAAAATAAAAGTAATCCAAATATTACTCACCAGTGGTGATGCAAGTAGAGTGGCAGCGCAGCAAAAATCAGCACACAAGGAATATATAAATCGGCAGCAGGTTCTCAATATCTACAGATGAAAATTATACACAAGCCATTGATAATCAGTGCAAGCTAATGTGAAATAGAGCAAAATAAGCAACCGAAGAAGGCTGGAAGTGGTTCTGAAATTAGATACACACTCTTCAATGTGCGTCGGAGCTAGTTACTGCTTTTGCACTTTCTCAATCGCTCTTGGTGCTGCAAAAAAGAGAAGTAGAACACTCTGTCACATACCCAGAATAAGAACCAGATGCAACGACGACGAGAAGAGGCACAGGGGATAGCAACTTGGATGAGGACAAGGCGGAAAGCAGGGAGCTGGGAATTGAAGGTCGGGTTTACAGCGAGCGGGGGAGGCCGGGTTGACGGCGAGCGGGGACTGAAGGGCGGGACAAGACGGGGAGCAAGGAGTTGAAGGCCGGGTTGACGGAAACGGAGGTTGAAGCCCGGATCGACGACGAGCAGGGGAGGCCGGTTCGACGACAATGGAGGTGAGAGTGGAAGAGATGTGTGGCGGCTGGGAGATGAGAACGATGGGAAAGGGTTTGGGGTAATAGGGTTTGGGCCTTTGGGATTTTGTTTTGGCATATGGGGTTTAGTAAATGGATTTTGGGTGGTTGGGGACTTCGATGGGTGTATCTCATTAATGAGAAAGTCCCAGAAATCCGTCTGTTTTCCATTCCTAAAACAAAGAAATTGTGCTTCCCAAAAACTAATACTATTTCCTACTATTTGATTCCTCAAATTATTACCAGTGGAATGGGAATGGAAAGTAAACCCTTTTTTCTGTTTCCATTTCCAAATAAATGAAATGAAATGAAAAAACAGGAAATGGAATGGTTACTGAACCGGGCATAAGTGTGTAGATAGATGGTGATTAATAAAATTACGGAGAAGTAGGGTTTAGAAGTATGGAAAGAAATTAGTTTGGTAAAAAAAATTACCAGACCAAAAGTTGAAGATTCCTTCCCAAAGCTCAATATTAGGGTAAAAAAGCTGTATTTAATTAGCTTTATGGTGCTTAATAAAATAAGACTTAATACATTTGCATAGTCATAACTTTCTCGTTTTTGACAATAATAGCCACTTTTTGAAAAATACACAGATATAGTCATTCCGTTAATAAGTTTAACGGCAACATCATAAACGCTGATTGTACTAACGGTTTGGTGACGTGGATGACTTTAAATCCAAGTTGGAAATGTTCTCATTTTTATGTAATTAAAGAAAAAAAAAACAAAAAAACAAATATGCTCCATGCGAATTCATTCCACGGCCGACCCTGCTCCATGCGAAGATCATCTGAAACCCCAGAAAATTAATCACACCATTTTGCAACTTATTTCCCATCTCCTATCAAGCTTCCCCTTTAATCAGACGTTTGAAAAACAAGAACACATACTTGTCTATCCCTCTCCCCAGGATTCCCTCTCGCTCGATTTGTCTATTCCTCTTCCAAATTCCAATTTGTTGAGTTCTAAGGCTCTGGCGCCACCACCCTCGACGAATCTCGACCAGGGGGAGAACAACTCCTATTCGCTGACCCGATTCATTAGAGCTGGGATGTGATGAGTGCGTCTTCAAGTTCCTAGGCTCCGCCGCCAACGCCATTGTCAAATCCAGAGCAATGGGAGAACGACCCATCTTCTCCTAACCGAGTTATCAACGCTCAGATCTGGGGCGTCGTCGAGAAAGAGCAGATTGCTCCTCCGTCCCTCCAATTACAGGCGTGCTAGCGCTGGCTTTGACTCTGATTAGATCCAGCCTTCTTTATTAGTCGTCGTGGGGCCGGTGGTGTGAGGTGGAGGGAAGAAGATGAGAGGGATAAATGGGGAGGGTTCTAGGTCGTAATTGGGTTTCTGGGAGATGGATTCTTGTGGATTTTGGGCTTTGGTACGAAGAAGGGAGATAGAGGGAGAGTTCTCAGCTTTAAATAGGAAATCGATTGGTAGAACCGCCATTGAAGGGCCAGAGCTATGAGCTCTGGTTTTGCGAGATTTAGAAAGTTGGAGCAGCCAGAGGAACAAAACTTCCTCGCGTAAGCTACATTGTGAGTGCGGTAGCGAGGCAGTGTTTTGGTGTTTTCATCTTCACTCTGGTCGACAATGGAGATGGTAGGTGCAGTGGGAGAATTGGGGTATGGATACTTAGTTCCGATCGGCGTTGATTGACGGAGAAGTTCAGAGCTCCGGAGAGGATGGGGGTTGGAAACTTTGACTGTTTAATGAAAATTAAATTATTTATTTTAATTCAAAATCTGATGTGGCAGTCGGGTGGCCTGACTTGGTGTGATGGTGCTGATGTGGAAGCTAAGGTGATATCCACATCAGCATCTTGTTAACAGTGTTAAAGTTTCAAACGGAAATGCCTAATTTTGTCAAATGAATTTCTAAAATGTGGCTATATCTGTGTATTTTTCAAACAGTGACTATTATTGTCAAAAATGCGAAAGTTATGACTATACAGGTAAATTGAGCCATAAAATAATAACATCTAGCTAGCTTGCTGTAAATCAAAAGGTTGTTACTTAGTGAATAATTCTTCCCATTTGTCCCTATTCCAAGACCCCATAAATTCTAATAAGGTAAAAAATAAAAACAAAACAGAATCCTCCTTACCTAATACTATAGTATTTGATTTTCCATTATCATAAACATTATCTCAAAATATTCAGAAGATATTATATGTGTTGAATACACAACAAACTCTAAATATATTGCAAATAGAATATATAACCTTGTTAAAATTGAGTCTCACCTTTAACATTCCAGAACTTTGATCCGAACTATGTAATATTTTTCTATTTCATAAAGATATCATCAAATTTTTTCGTAAACAACTACCAAAACTTTGTAATCACAACAATAAATGATGACAACTAAGCTTCAATATAAATCACACTAGTTCTCATTAGGGATGACAGACCTGCCTGATCCGATACCCATCCTAAACCCGCTTAGATGGGGATCAAAATAACCGACCGTCGTGGGTAAAGGGCGTATTCGGGTATGCGCGAAATCCGACAGTAGTGGGCAACGAGTGGGAATGGATCTCATAATATCTGCCCCGTCCCCAAAGCGACGCCATTTTGGACTATAGTCATGCAACCCAATGGAAGGATCCAGAAACCCTAGGGTCCCCATTTCATCTCCTTCGTGTCTACAGACGCCTGCATTCAACATACCAGTCACAACTTTACCTCTTTACCATTTCAACTACTCCTTCTGCAGATGTAGCCATGACGAAAGTGTCGAGCTCACTAGTGCACGAACTGTTAAGCAAGCGAGTCGATGTGTCGAGCAACCAATCATCAACTACATCGTGAACGTCCTCATCGATGAGGACTTTGATTTAGGTGAGGAAGGCGAGGGCATTTTTGAAGCCCTCGGCGAGCTCCTCGTCGGCTCCAAGTGCGTTTCTAATTTGCCCGGATGCCGCCTGGTAAGGTACTACTCATCCCCGCTTTTTATCTGTGTTCCCACCCATCTCTTCTCGAGAAACTTGTTTAGTTTTGTTTGAAATTGAATTCGAACATATTTCTACCAGGTTTTGATTGATTAGATGATGCACGGCTTGGGACTTCCGTGGGGATTCGTGGATTGCCCGAACCCGTCGGCGGACGGGGACGGTAGCCAATCTACCCTCATTTCGCCGCCGGGGACAAGGATGTGGAAATCCTCCGAGGTTGACGGGCGGGGATCGGGAGGCATGTACCCGCCCCCGATCCATTCCGTTGCCATCCCTGGTTCTCATATCTTACAACTTTTTTTATAATATCTGTTGTAAAAGAGTGATATAAAATTCATAATTAACTTTCTTTCATTTATTTGAGCTATTGGACTGGATGGTTTATTACATGATATTAGAGCAGGTTTTACCCGATAATTGTGTGTTTGAATCTTTACAACCCCAAATGTTAACAACCAATTTAAGTAAAAGATATAATGAGCTTGTGCATATTTCAAACCCATAAATTAATTATCGTTTGAGAAGATATAAGATTCATAATTAATTAACCTTCTAAATATAACATTTACAATTGGATCATCACCCACCATAACATATATTATTTATTATCATGTATACAAATTGGTAATAGTAGGCTTTGTGGGTTATGGTTTGTGCTCTCATGCTCCTTTTCCCACGTAGCTGGCGGATCAAAATTCTACAGAAAAGTTTCTTATCATCTAAAAGTTTTTTCTACCATTTTCCACCTACCTTTCTTAGCTTTGATGGCGGTTTTTCGAATTTGAAAATAGAGCATCTGATCATAGCATCCTACTTCTCACTCTCTCACAGTAGTCCACATAATTAAATCCCCAAACCCAATATTTTGCATGATAAAATCCAATATATATAATTGAGATGAAATACCAAAATACACACGCTTTTTAAAAAAATTCCCAAAATACACACGTTATAAAAAAATATCCAAAATACACATGTTTGGGCATCACTGCGGCTGTCGACCACAGTGAATGCATTCACTGCGGCAGACGAAAGCGGTAAATGCATCACCGCGGTTGATGGGCGCGGTGAATGCATGACCTAACACCGAAACTTTAAATGAACGTAATTTTACCCTCGGTTATCCGATTGTAGCGAATTTTTTTTTATTCCGCATAAATTTTCAAGATATTTCAATCTGCAATAAGCCTTCATCTCAAAAAAATGTCGTTTGTTGCCCCGAACGAGCAATTTTTTCGATTTTGTCAAACTTTGGAAGGTCATAACTTTTAGCTCCTCAATCCGAACATTGTAAAGTTTTTTTATTGCGCATAACTTTTTAATAACTACAATTTTTACTAGTAAATAGTTTTTTAAAAAAAGAAATATTTTTGGGTATACAGGATTTTGGGAATAACTTTGCCTTTACTTTTCAAAAATCTACATCCATTTCAAAATTATTGTTATAATAAAAGTTGTAGTCCTTCAAAAGTTATGCGAAATCAAAAAAGGTTTCATGACATTTGGATAGCGGAGCACAAAGTTATGTCTTTCAAAGTTTGTCAAAATCGAAAAATTGCTTGTTCGGGGTAGCAAACAAATTTTTTTGGGATGAAGGCTTGTTGCAGATTAAAAAATCTTGGAAAGTTATGTGGATTAAAATAAATTCGATGCAATCGGATAACCTAGCGCAAAGTTATGTTTGTTTGAAGTTTCAGTGTTACGTCAGGCATTCACCGCTTTCGTCTACTGCGATGAATGCATTCATTGAGGTTGACGACCGCAGTGATGCCCAAACAATTGTATTTTGGATTTTTTTTTAATGTGTGTTTTGGAATGTTCCCTTAAACCAGATATCCTGTTTTTGTCATTTTTCAAGATCGTGAATGATTTAACTATAAAGAACCCATCATTTTCCTATTTCAGTACCTCCCTTAAAAAATTCAAAACAACAACATTGTCTGAGTCCACATGAACACTTCCTCATGGTAGCTTGTTTTATGTTCAATGTTCAAACAAACCCTTTGATTCCATTATATTTGAGTTATTGCCCGATATCCTAAAATGTGGTTTTATCATTCATTTCTCGTAGGACGGGAGAGAACAAATACAACACATGCTTCTTTAATTTTATAACTTTGTAAAAGGGGAAGAGGGAGGCAGGGGTGTTTTTTTGTTTTAGCAGCAAATAAAACCGTCGCCAGAGATAGCTCCAGCGGCTTTGTCGACCGCTACATAACCCACGCAAAACAAACCGCCGCAGAGTTATCGCACCGGTGGCTTCAACCGCTGGTGGAAGACGTTGCAGCGGATTTTGGCAACAGTTATTACCGACACAATTAGTTTTTCATTCGGCGATGGTGTAAAATTGGGGATTGTCCACACTGAGATGATCCTAATTCGAAGACCCTCGAACTTGGACCAAAAATCAGAATTGCACAACGTCGAACTCTTTTTGGTTTTCTCCTTTCTTGAATAGCACGAAAATAAAGATACTTGCGGAATCAATCAAACAAATCCGAACTCGGGAGAAGGGCCAGAAGTTATATGAAACCTTCCAAACAATCTCAAACACGTTGAAGAGGCCAACCGATATAGTCGATGCTCGCCACAACTAGACGCGTTCTCTAGTTGATAAGAGACCACTCAATTTTCCCGAATCCTCAAAGGAGAGATTAAGCAAAAATGTTCACAATTGAACTCACACAAACTCACTTGTAATTGATCGCTGAAAACTTGAATGAAAAAATACATTTGTTGGACTCCTATTTATAGACCCACGAATCTAAACACAAAACAACTAAGGAAAACCAAATCCTACTTGAAAAAGGAAAACAAAAATCTTAACAAACAAGTAACCAAAGTCCTAGAAAGAAAAGAAAACAAATTTAACTTTTTCAACCCTTAATTGTAGCCTTAAAATCTTCCCTCACATGCCTTGTGTTCACACATGATATTTCTTTCACACCTTCTGTTCACACTTTGTGTTCACACCATGGGGGAATTCCTTTCTTTTGGGCCGAATTCTTCACTCCTCCTTCCAAGCCCATCTTCTCTTGATTCTGGTCCACAAATTGTAGTAATGTAATGGGCTTTTCTCGATGCAATTCCATGTCCATCAAGAACGATCCCATTTGATCCTTATATCGTTGTATTCGAGCCTTCATCTTTGGACCACGAGAATTATATGTTCTGCCAATTGATTTCACATCAACAAACTCGTAGGCCTTGCTTGCAGAGCCATTTTCACCCATCTAGAATGCTCCCAAGATATCTTTGAACCTCTTAATTCGTCTCTTGGCCCATGGTCCATGTGAATAGATTATTTGAGCCCGAATAACTCCATAAGGGGTGAGCGGGGTCGCATCATTCCCTCCCTCTTGAAGAAGATTTGACCTCAAATCTTCTTGTTGCAAGTAGGCTCTCTTGTACGACTTTATTAACCACGAGCTAGAGTATACACCTTGAATGCTAAGCTTATCGACGAACTCTTGCAGTCTTCGTCTCTCTCTAATATGTATTTCATTGTATGGCACTTCATCTCCAATAACGAACTCCATATGCTCAACACTCTCACCATAATCTTCCATCTGAATAGACTTATATT